CTCCACTCTCCAATTCGACAGCGTTTCGCCCTCTTGATGTCCAGCCCCAGAGAAATGAGCACCCGAGCTCGTATTTATAAGCTTCGCGGATAAGAACGAAGGATTCCTCCTTATCTTCAGTTAACAACTGTATAACCACAGTATCAGATCAGTTGGAACGTCCAGAAACACACAAATCCCAAAAGAATCCATAAAAAGAACCGAAACAAAACTGATTCTGACCGAATTGCCACTTGGTGGCTCGGCCACCTGGCTCGGCCTTGGGCCGAGCCACTGGTCCGACCGGATCGTTTTGACGCGATCCGATCGTCAGAGGCTTTCTTGGTTTTCTCGGGTTTGATTCGTTCCGTCGTTTATGTGTGTTTCGCCGACCGATACGCTTCCTCGATTCGCTTTGCGCATTTCGTGAACACGCGGATCGCTTGACGGTGGTTAGTGAGTACGCGGGACGCTTAGAACTGGGTGGTGAGTGCGCGGAATTGTCGGTGAGCGTACGGGACGTTTAGTTCGCCGTTCCGATGATCATTAAGCGTACGGGCCACTTGACGGTGGCCGATGAATACGCGGGCTGATCGGGTAAATCTTCTCGACTTGGATGATGACATTTATCGCCTCCTCTTCGTCTCGAGCCATATACGGGAACCTACAGGTATTTTTTAGACGCCTACAATGACGAAGAAGAGTGAAGTCCTAGATATATTTGTGGAGTGGAAGAAGAGGTTAGAACTACAGACTGGGAGAAAGATCAAGACGTTACGATCCGACAACGGTGGTAAGTACACATCAACCCCCTTTCAGCAGCTATGTCGAGACGATGGCATAGAAAGACACTTCACAGTTAGTCATACACCGCAGCAGAATGGGGTGACAGAGAGCTTAAATCGGTCTTTGCTGGAGAATATTCGATGTTTCTTAAAGCATAGTGGTTTGGAGAAGATCTTTTAGGCTGAGATACTTTCATATGCGGCCACATTATTAACAAGCTGCATTCATCTGCGATTGAGGGGAAGACCCCTATGAAGATGTGGTCGGGAGAGCCAGCACACGACTATGACCAGCTCAAGGTATTTAGGTGTCCTGCATACTATCATGTAAAGATTAATAAGTTGGAACATCGAGCTAGGAATTACATATTTGTAAGATTCAAACATGGTGTCAAGAGATACAAGCTATGAGATCCAGTTGATAGGAAGATTGTGCTGAGTAGGAACGTCACGTTTGATGATGCTTCTATCTTGAAGCTTCTCAGTTCTCATCAGGTGGAGAGTGACCCGACAGAGGAGATATCATAGATGGTGGAGATCAATGCAGCTTCATATTGTCCAGATGGTACAGTGTCCATTAGAGTACCGACTGAGGTGACGCCAGATGAGCACGATGACGACGAGGAGGATACGGGTACAGTTGTGCAGGATCAGGGACCGACGACTCAGGTTCAGGATTCTATTGCGATTCGGAGACAAAGGATAGACATACGGATACCAACACGGTATACCGACACAGTAGTTGCATATGCACTTCCGGTGGAGAGTATCGATGAGTTGATGCCTACTACATTCAGAGAGGCCGGACAGAGTTCAGAGGCTGATTCGTAGCAGGTAGCTATGCAGGAGGAGATTGAGTCTCTTCACAAGAATGATACATGAGAGCTTGTTGAGCTTCAAAATGGGCGGAAGGTGATTGGTTACAAGTGGGTATACACGAATGAGAGCATTGAGGGCACTCCAGTGAGGTTCAAGGCTAGGTTGGTCGCGAAAGACTATGCACAGGAGGAATGTATTGATTATAATGAGGTTTTCTCTCCAGTGGTGAAGCACTTTTCGATTCGGATTTTGCTAGCTTTGGTGGCACAATATAGATTGGAGTTAGATCAGTTGGATGTGAAGACCATATTTCTTCATGGTGATTTTGATAAAAAATATATATGACTCAGCCAATGAGATTCCGAGCTGCAAGGATGGAAAACCTAGTTTGCAGGTTGAAGAAATCGCTATATGGTTTGAAGCAGTCTCCTCGACAGTGGTATAGATAATTTGATGGTTTTATGATTGGTTATTCGTACACTTGGAGCTAGTTTGATCCTTACATGTATTTTCACAAGTTGAAAGGAGGTGTGTACATCTCTTGTTGTTCTATATTAATGACATGTTGGTTGTCTCTATTTCCAGGACTTCTATAGATGAGTTGAAGACACATCTTTCAAAGGAATTTGAGATGAAAGATTTGGGTGAGGCTAAACGTATTTTAGGGATGGAGATCGGCAAAAACAAAGAGAATGACAGAATTTGTTTGACACATGTGGCTTATTTGAAGAAGGTTCTACAACGATTTTATGTCAGCATGGATACGAAGCCAGTTAGTGTACCTTTAGGAGCCCATTTAAAACTTTTAGCTGACCTTTCACTGAAGACAGTTAAAGATCGAGAGTTGATATCGAAGACTCTATATACGAGCGCGGTTAGGAGCTTGATGTACGCGATGGTATGTACGAGATCAAATTTGTCACAGACGGTGAGCATAATTTCGAGATACATGCACGATCTAGGAGTAGATCATTGGAACGCCGTGAGATGGATCTAGAGGTACATTCGAGGTACGCTCAATATTGGTTTGGTTTTTGAGCGGGACACTAGAGGTGGACAGTTGTGTATTGGCTGTGTTGATTCGGATTATGCTGGGATTTGGATAAGTGCCGATCTACGACAGGGTATGTGTTCAGTTTAACACGTGTGATGGTGTGTTAGAGATGCACCTTACAGTCTACGGTGACTTTAACGACGACGGAGGCAGAGTATATGACGATTACGGAGGCTGTGAAGGAGGCTATTTCACTTCGAGGAATTTTAGAGGAACTTGGTATATCGCAACGGTCCGTCACCATTCATTGTGATAGTATGAGTGCTATCTATTTGACGAAGAATCAGGTTTTTCATGCGAGGACGAAGCACATTGACATTCGTTATCACTTCGTTCGGGATATTCTTGAAAATGACGATGTGAAGATTGTGAAGGTCTACACAAAGGGATAATCCGACGGATATGCTCACTAAGGTGATTCTGAGTAACAAGTTTGATCATTATCGAAACTTGTTACACATTCGTGATTGTTGAGACCGTTGACGACCATTTGGATGAACAAGGGGCGACTTGATCCCTTGGGAGAAGGGGTACGTAGGCAACCATTTTGGTGCAGCCGATTTTGGAGAGACGATGCATTGGTGTTCTTTGTTTGGTGTCGGATCAATTTTGGAAAACTTCACCGAGGTGAAGAATTAAAGAGCTTACAGGAAAAACGGCAGAAAACAAATTTGGACTTCTAGCGGTTGACCGCGATTGGCGCGGCGATCGACCGCAAACGTGCATGCGAGCTGAAAAAGTCTCTGGACTTTTCTCGGTCGACCGTGATTAGCATGACGGTCGACCGGCCAAACACTGTAATATTTTTTAAGTTTTTGTCGTTCTGTCCGGTCGACCGCACGTGTCTCTGCGGTCGACCGCAAGTCAGGCTGGGCCTGAATTTGGTTTCCTATTCTCATTGGGTTTGTGTTTTGATATATATTGAAGCACTCGTTTCTAGGGTTAGGATATGAGAGTTCTAACAGAGATTTGTGAGTATTCTGAGCACTTTGAGAGGGAAAACTTGTGAGCAAGTTGAGAGATTTGGTTTAGGGTTTGTGTGAGTGATTTTATGAGATTGTAATACTTTGTATTCTCCTTGATTTAGTGGAATCTCTCCATCCTCTCCCCGTGAACGTAGACAAATTATCGAATCACGTATATCTCTGTGTTTGATTTGACTTGTCGTATTTGGATTGAATTGTGCTCGTGTATGGTTGGTTCTCTTCTCTCGTGATCACAGATTCGTTCGGTGTGCGAGCATGCTTCCACATAGGCGCGCAACAGGAACTAGTAGAGTATGACGATTAGGAGATAAGAAGGCATATGCCAACATTCAGTACTATGGGAGGTAGCAACTGAAGAACAAACCATAGGTTAATAGGCGAAGTTGGAGAAAATTTTAATGACAAAGTCCTCTCCAACTAAGTACTCGTGTAAAATCATGAAGATTAGCCTTGAGAATCCAAGAATCACATGAACCTTATCATGAATCACAAATTACATAAAGATGAATTAATCCTAATGTAGAATGCTACCTTCGGTAGGTCAGTAAAGATTTTAATAATTGCAATAAACTTTCAATCAAATGTGAAGAAAAACGCACCTGAGATCGAGCTCGCCTGCAGGCGAGGGCGTGGAGGCGAGGAGCTTGGGCGCGGGCTGGACAGGCGAGGAAGTTCGTCTGTGCGCTGAGGCGAGGACGAACTCGCCTGTAAGCGAGGGCGAGGTCGCCTGCGCGAGGAAATTCAGAGCTCGCCTGATTTCTCGCCTGCTTGGGAGTGGAAGCCAGCTGGGAGAGCGGGGATCGCCATGTGAATGCAACTCCCTTTAGTGAATGGGATCCAACTGGAGACCTAGGGTTTCCCTATAAAAGGGAAACCCTGTTCTCCAGATCCCCTTTGAGCGTCAGATCGCGTTACAGAGTTGAGGAAAACTCTATGGCGACGGCTATTTTTCTCAGACTTGCGGCATTTATTGAGAAGCCTTAAAGGCGATTCTCAGTGAGATTGAGCGGTGATTTATTCAGTTGAATAAATCACACCTGGTACTGTAGCAAGTCTACAGTAATCTATAATTCATTTGAGAGATCTCAAGTTTGAGATCTTCTCTTTGCAAGTTTGTAATTTCTTGTGGTTAAATAAGAAATTATTTGTGTGGCTCCCATGGACGTAGGCAAGTTTGCCGGACCACGTAAATATGTTGTCTCGTCTTCTTTACTTATTGTTTTATCTGTGTATTCGCTATTGCTTGTATTGGTTGGTTTTGAGTTTGGCGTAAACTTAAGCTAGGGTTGTTTTCTCTCGGGATTGATTTAGCTTCCGTGGCGGTGTGGGCGTTCCCTCGCTCCCAACAAAATGAGCATATAACTTTAAGCAAATTACCTGATTAAGCATCCATTTGAAGCCCACAGCTGACGTGCATTGACTCCTAGCTGCAGTATGTTCCATTTCAAGATTATAAACTGTGTCCAATTGCCTTGAGATGATTGATGCATTAGCGCACATTTTTCTATCAAGAAATATCTCCCCGTTCGAGCTAATATTGATATGACTGTTCAACAAACTCTCCAACCACTTGGTTCCTGACCTTTGACTCGACATAATAACAAAAAAGCGAACTGAAGTGCATGCACACTCTCTCCTGCAAATATAAAAGATTTGTTATAATCATGAAGGAATTAAAAAGAAACCTGTCTGCAAAATCTGAAATGTTTGAAAGCTTGCAGTTACCTTCTATAGTTTGTGGGTACTGGAAAGTGGAGATAAGGAATCTCTGATTGAGGTACTTCAGGATCTAGTACGCATTGTGGTGGCTCAACCCTCGCCAATTTGGGCTTGACCAGGACTGTGGTCTTATTCAAATGAATATTAATGCTACGATCATAAGTCTGTTGATCCTTTGGTGGATTAATCAGAATTTTTGGTTGCTCTGAAGTAACAATTGCCGAGACGCTAGAATGGGGTTCTATCGGTTTTGTCTCTGCTGGTTCTTGATTTATGTGAATCTCTGTTTGGTTCAATCTGTTACTAGAATCATAAGAGTGTTGTCCAATCGTGTTTGTGCTTTTGGTTTCTTCTTGAGTCAAACCAACAATTTTCTGATTATAAGTCTCCACTGGCTTTGCTCTTATAATTTCTAGCTTTGTCTGGGTCACTGGTTGCTCCAAAGTAACAGGTCCAGGAGCAGAAGGATATCCTTCTCTTCGATTCGTCCTCAGGAGTTCAGGCTTGATTTGGTGCTCTGTTTTCTTAACAGATAGATTATGTTCCTCTATTGGTTTCTCAGGATCGTAATTATGTTCTTCTACTGGTCTTTTCTTCATTAATACTTCTCGTGTGATCTGGTCCTCTGTTTGCTTCAAACCAACAAGCATAGCATCATAAGAATATCTTTCCAATGGTTTGGTCCTCTTTGTTTCATGCTTGATATGGATCCTTGTTTGTTTTAAACAAATAGAGGATATATAAATACTGCACATCATAACCACGGCTAACATAATCATCCTCAGTGTGCTGGGAGATCTTCTTGGAAGTCTTGTTATAAGAGTATCCTGGTGAAAAACATGAGTTTGGGGAATAGAGGGTATCAAGTTAACGAGGGAAAAAGAGGCTAACAAATATCACCATCATTTGTCCTTTTCTCCCCATTGGACTGCTTGTTCTATTTAAAATAAACAAACGTTATTTGCACAAAATTTGCTCCATTTTTAAGTTTTATTCCCCAAAGTTTTCTTTGGCGCAAAAAACACTCCATTGTCTGCCTCATTTTTTTTTACGTTGACACCCCAAGTGTCTCTCTCTCTCTCTCTCTCCCTCTCTCTCTTGTTTGCTCCAAAAATACCTCAAAGTTCAACATAATGTAAATGTGATACCCCAAACTTCAACAAAATCTTCACTTTGATACCCCCAAACTTTATCAAAACGTCTAGGTTTGAGGCATCAAAGTTAAATTTTGTTGAACCATGGGGAAATATTTTGGAGAAAATCTGGGAGTATGACAGTTAAATTTTGTTGAAACTTCGGGGTGTTTTTTTTTTTTTTTTTTTGGAGAAAAAAAAACTGTGTGTTATCTAAGTTCAAAAAAATGAGGTAAACTATGGGGTATCCAAGTGCAAATAACTCTAGAAGAGCCGTGAATTTGCGATGCGTGAATATGTTGTGAACAATGGAAAGCATCCACATTGCTAATATTGCTATGAAAGTATTGCAAAATGCCGGGCGAATCAATGGAATCATAATCCAATCATTGTTTCAATGCCTAAAGATTTGGAAACAGGTGTAGGAGCTTGCCCGGTATCAAGTACAAATCTTCCATGTTAACTACTTAAATCCGAAATGAATCGGCTTTGCTAGCAAGGATGATTTCAGAGGGGGCAAAAGATAAAGTTGCCTTGTGAATTCAAAGAAAATATCTTTCACAGAGCAACGGGAACAAATTAATCCTATAATTACCTTCGTTCTAACCTAACAGGCCTTTACAATAAGGAACTAACAGCAAAAATTAAAAAAATTAAAAAATTAAAAAAAACAAAGGAAAGGGGGGAAAGGCAAAACATGGGTTCTTGATTGAATTATAGCTACAAGAATTGAAATGAAGGAAAAAAAAAAGTTAAAAAGTTATGCTACAAATTAGAAACCATCTACTAAATATGTACCAAAAGTAACATGCATTGAGTCACAAAGCACTGAAAGGAGGAAAGAACAAAAATGGGTTCTCTTCTATTGAATCCTTCAAGATGCTAGAAATAAAAAGAGTAGTAAATGTGATCATCTCAGTTTGAAGAGACATTGATCATGTAATTTTGCTCCTTGTCTTCTTAACATTAGGTTGCCCTCCTTTTGCAAAAGAAATAAATCAAGATCATGGGAGCTAAGGTAAACCGACACTGCAATACAAATAGTACTTGAGCTCAACAAGTACAAAGGCACTGAGAACCCCAGAAAAATAAAATTCAGTAGCTCATTGAAGAAATATTTCATTAGAGCGAGAACAAACCTTAGGAATTAAGTAGAAATCTCCACCCATCTTCCTTCTTCTTCCTCTTCTCTCTTTCTTCTTCTTTGTCTTCTTCTTCCGTTAACTCTCTATTTAATGAAAGCCAGAGCACCGCTGAGAAGCCACTAATGCATTACGAGTCATTTTCAGTCATACAATTAGTCAACATCAAATGCCATTAACAAAAACGGGCCCTTGTTTCTCTAGGATGCCTTGCTTCCCCTCTTTGGTTTTTATTTCTTATATTTTTGTTAGTATACTGAAAACAATTACCTCGGGAATGCTTCCAAACATTCAATGCTTTGAGCGTACCGAGAAGGAATAAGTATACAATATTAAAAATTAATCTTAGAATCTAGGGGAAAATATGTCTAAGGCCCACGAAAAAGCTGTTGTGGTTTAGCCCCTAGAAATTTTCCCATGTGTTTTATGAAGAAATGGCAAGAGAGTACAGGAAAACAGCAGAAGAATCAGCCAGGCAGACTGGCGGTCGACCACGAACGTGCACAAAAACACAAAAACCACTAGGACTCAAAGCTGAAGGCGGTCGACCGTGGTGGTCGACCGCGAGGACCCTGTACGTGTTTTTGGTCTCGGGATGAGATTCGGTCGACCGTCGCGGTCGACCGCATGACTGTAATCGATTCTGCTCTCGGATTTTTGGTTCGGTCGACCGCAGACTGATTTTGGGCTGAGCTTTGGATTTTCACCCGGTTCGTTTCTGAGTTGATATATAGCCCTAAACCAGATTAATTATGGTTAAGCAAGGACGATTTTGAGCAGTCTTTTGGAGAGGATTGATGTATCCAATTGTAGGAGATTTATGAGAGATCTAGAGCTTTGTTTTAGGGTTTGATCGGTGAGATTTGTAACTCTATTTGTATTCTCTTGATTTCTAATAGTAAGAACTAGCCCCTCCTTGCCCCGTGGACGTAGGTAACTTGCCGAACCACGTAAATTATTTGTTTTTGTTGTGGTTGTGATTTGCTTATTGGTTGTGGTTTATCTCGAGTTATTATTCGTGTCGTTCCTCGAAGCTTCCGCCGCGCACAACAATTGGTATCAGAGCTTCAGGCTTGTTCGAAGGATTCGGTGAAGATTCCTATCTGAAGAGTTAGATCGACAACATGGGAGATGCAAGCACATCAGTTTTGTCTCTTACGAAGGCGATACAGAGTCTGAGCATCAATAACACGAAGATTGATGTTCCGAAGTTCGACGGCAAGATCAATTTCGGATTGTGGAGGTGTCAAGTGATGGACGCATTGGATGCACAAAATTTGGAGGAGACTCTTGAGTTAAAAGAGAAACCCGCTGACATGGAGGACAAGGTTTGGAGGAAGATGAACAGTAGAGCTTGTGGTGTTATTAGGTCATGCTTGACGCCGGATCTTATTTATGATGTTATGAATGAGACGTCGACGAAGAAGATGTGGGAAACACTCAATGAGAAGTATCTTACGAAGAGCATTGAGAATCGGATTCACTTGAAGAAGAGGTTTTACCAGTTCAAGATGAAAAGGGGAGTTTCCATCAGGGAGCATGTCAACAATTTTACTAAGCTACTTTCAGATATGGCCAATGTGGACATCATAGTTAAGGATGAAGACAAGGCGATGTTACTTTTGTGTTCGTTGCCCGAGTATGATTATGGTACGTTTGTTATAACTATGGTCAATGGAAGAACTACAGTTAGCTATAAGGAGGTGACCTTAGCTTTGGTGAATTATGAGTTGAGGAAGAGTGATGGTAAACCCTCTGAGAAGGCATCGGTAGATGCATTAGCCGTTCGAGGCCGTGATCCAAACCGTCGCCAGTTCAACCGCTCAAAGTCAAAGAATAGGAGTGCCTATAAGTGGAAAGAAAAAGCTGGGAAAAATAATATTGGAAGATTGACTGCCCAAAGTGGAAAGAAAAAGCTGGGAAGAATAAGGGGAAAGCTGCACAAGCTTCAGAAGTGAATGTTACAAAAGCTATTGGTGAGCATTCAGATTCAGATTCTTCAGGTTATTCATGCCCTGCATTACTGTCGGTTTGCTATGCGGATTCTACAGAGTGGATGATGGATTCGGGAGCTACATATCACATCTGTCCTAAGAGGGAGTAGTTCTCTAGCTTTGAGGAGCTGGAAAGAGGGGATGTCGTGCTTATGGGTAATGATCATGTATGCCCTATTGGTGGTATTGGTTCAGTCCGGATTAGGATGCATGACGGTGTCATGAGGGAGTTGAAGAAAGTGAGGTTCGTGCCGCAGTTGACGAAGAACAGTTGGGACTTTGAAGGCAGCAAGATATCGAGTGATCTTAGATGATGCTACAGTGAAGTTCACGAAGGGCTCTATGGTGGTGATGCGAGGTGTCAGGGAAAACAACCTATACTACTTGAAGGGTAAGACAGTTACAGGGGGTCTGGCAGCTTCTATCATTACAGAGGAGAACACTACCACTTTATGGCACATGAGACTTGGACACACAGGAGATAAGTTCCTACAGTCATTGACGAAACAGGGGCTATTAAAAGGTGCTAAGACCTGCAAGATGGAGCTGTGTGAGCATTATGTACTCGGGAAGAAGACTAGAGTGAAGTTTGGCACTGCTGTTCATAACACCCGAGGTACATTAGATTACATTCACACAGATGTTTGGGGCCCTTTCAAGAACACATCTCTTGGTAGGGCCAACTATTTTATCACTTTCATTGATGATTATTCCAGGAGGAATTAGGTATACCCTATGAAGCATAAACATCAGGTCCTGGATATTTTTGTGAAGTGAAAGAAGAAAGTGGAGCTGCAGACAGGTAGAAAGGTGAAGACTCTACGTTCAGATAATGGTGGAGAGTACTAGAAAGGTGAAGACTCTACGTTCAGATAATGGTGGAGAGTACAAGAGTGATCCGTTTCTGTAGTTTTGCTGGGATCACGGCATTAGAAGACACTTCACACGTTTCTGTAGTTTTGCTGGGATCACGGCATTAGAAGACACTTCACAGTTCGAGAGACACCGCAACAGAACGGGGTGGCTGAGAAATTGAACTGTACCTTGCTGGAGAAGGTACGATGTATGATGATGCAGAGTGGATTGCCTAGATCTTTTTGGGCCGAGGTATTGGTTTATGCGAGCCATCTCGTGAATAGGTTGTCGTGCACTACGATAGACGGAAAGACTCCTTTGGAGCGTTAGTTTGGTTCGGTGGCTAGTGATTATGAGTCGCTTCGGATATTTGGGTGTCCAGCTTATTACCATGTCAGTGATGGTAAATTAAATCCGAGAGCGAGGAAAGCAGTCTTTGTGGGATTTAGAGATGGAGTCAAAGGCTTCAAGTTATGAGATCCACAGGACAAGAAGATAGTTATTAGCAGAGATGTCACATTTGATGAGGTGTACATGATGAGGCCTCGAGCCCCTCAGCAGGTGGAGGGATACCAGACAGGAGAGATATCGCAGCAGGTGGAGGATGATGTGACTCCATCCACTCCAGAGAGCATTGTATCCATCGAAGCTCCTACAGAGGTGACACTGGGAGGAGATGAGATGATAGCCGGGAAGATAGAGGATACAGTGGATTATGAGACTCAGGAACATGGTCATGTTCAAGGGTCCATTGTAGCAGATAGACCAAGGAGAGTAATTCATCGGCTAGCTAGGTATAATGATATCATGGTCACATATGCATTATCAGTGGAGGTCGTTGATGATATGGTTCCATCCACATTCAGGGAGACAGAGTCTAGCCCCGATTCGATCAGGTAGAGGGAAGCTATGGAGGAGGAGATGTAGTCTCTTCAGAAGAACGACACTTGGATACTTGCACATCTACCTAAGGGTAAGAGAGCTATAGGTTGCAAGTGGGTATATGCAAAGAAGGAGGGATCTTCTATTGAGGACATTCGATTCAAAGATGCAGGAAAGGAAGACTTGGTTTGTAAGCTAAAGAAGTCTCTTTATGGTTTGAAGCAGTCACCAAGACAGTGGTATAAGAGATTCGACGGCTTTATGATTGGCCAAGGGTACACAAGGAGCCCATATGACCCATGTGTTTATATGCACAAGCTACAGGATGGTGAGCACATATATTTGTTTTTATATGTTGACGATATGCTTATTGCTTTCAGAAATTCTTCGGCTATTTGAAAGTTGAAAGAGGAGCTGTCATCCGAGTTCGAGATGAAGGATCTTGGAGAGGCAAAGAAGATATTGGGTATGGAGATCGAGAGAGACAGGGTGAAAGGGAGTTTGAAACTTACACAGAAAAGCTACTTGCAGAAGATGTTGAAGAAATTCAGCTTTGATGAAAATACAAATGCAGTTAGCACTCCATTGGCTCCCCACTTCAAGCTTTCAGCGTTGATGTCACCTGTTTTAGTTGAGGACAGAGATTATATGTCGAAGGTCCCATATGCCAGTGCAGTATGTAGCTTGATGTATGCGATGGTGTGTACGATGTCAGATTTGTCACAGGCCGTGAGCATGGTATCGAGATACATACACGACCCCGGGAAGGGTCATTGGGAGGCCGTGAAGTGGGTTCTATGGTATGTTCGAGGCACCATGGATGTTGGTTTGATATAGAAGGATGAGAAGAATGGGCAGGATTGTATTGGTTACGTGGATTCAGATTATGCTGAAGATCTTGACAAGCGTCGGTCCACTTCAGGTTATGCTTTTACATTGTCAGGTGCACCTGTATGTTGGCGATGTACACTTCAGTCTACAGTGGCTCTCTCTACTACAGAGGCGGAGTATATGGTGGTGACTGAAGCTATTAAGGAGGCTTTATGGTTGCGTGGATTATTAGAGGACTTGGGAATCACACGGGAGACCATTCGTGTATATTGTGATAGCATGTCAGCTATCTATTTGGTGAAGAACCAGGTTTATCATGCGCGTACGAAGCACATCGATGTCAGATTCCACTTTGTTCGTGACGTTTTGGATGATGGAGACGTCATATTGAAGATGGTCCACACGAACGACAACCCTGCAGATATGTTGGCCAAAGTTGTTTCAGGAGTGAAATTTGGTCATTGTTTGAAGCTTTTGAACATTCTTCAGTGTTGAGGCCTTTGGAGGCCATTTGGGTGAACTACGTTCGGCTTGATTCCTTGGACAAGAGGATACGTAGGCGCCATTTGGGTGAACTACGTTCGGCTTGATTCCTTGGACAAGAGGATACGTAGGCAGTCTTTCAGATGCATCCGGTTTTGTTGATTCAGATTGGGGAAGACCGCGTTTCAGCTCTAGTTTGGTTCCCGGACT